GAAAAAACTTTTATAAAAATGAAAACAGGAATTTCACAATACCACAGAGACAATAGCTATTTCTGACTAAAATTGATTTTGAGGAAATTTCAGTTTACGCCTTCAAAAAAGATCCTCTGCGGGAACAGTTGTGTGATTTACAACTTGCTATTCACAAAAGAGGATGCAGCTGCGATTTTTTTGAGCTGGGTGAGCAAACACTCCTTTCAAGCACAAAATGCCCAGTTAAAATTACTCCGTCCCTGCCCAAAATGTCCAATAAAAACTAGAATTTTGGAAGTCCAGTTCTCCGCATATGCGAGTGCTGACGTCGAAGTCGAAGTATTCCAATTAGTTACCCTTATTCTCAGTACCTAACAAACACTAACTGACCAGCATGCGATATATCGACGGAGGAGTAGTCACCGATATACGGGTTCGCGCCGAGCATCGCAGCAGCCGCCGCAGCAGCATATTGTTGTTGTTGCTGCTGAGCTTGCGCTTGAGCTTGGGCTTGAGCCTGAAGTGTAGCCGCGGCAGCCCCACTTACTGGCACTCCGTATCCTGCAGCGTTCGATCCATCGTACGACAACGAACTAAATATTACTGGTTTATTTTTCTTTATTACGAAAAACAGGCAAATATTGTGGACGAAAACTAAAGCACATCGGAAAACGAATTGTGTCATCAGTTCCTCCCAAATCAGATTAGAAAAATAAGCTTTGAGATAAACTTGCGGATCGAAACATTTCAGTTGGCTAAGAGATTCCTACAAATTTTTAACCAAATCGACTCAATGTGATGTGGGAGCGACAGCGGTATTTAACCACGATGGAACACTAAAAGAAAGAGAGAAATCGACTACTTCTTGGTCGGCACTTGGTTAATTCTCGAGAATATCTCCCTTGGTGTAGAAAGTTAGAACACACAGTGATCCGAATCAGAAAAAAAAGAATTTGCGCGACGGGGGCTAAGCTTCTATGCTGCAATGAGATAAGGTATGCAGCTCTCCAAGTGACTGAAAAGAGTTCAAGCAATGCTATCGGAACCATTAGACCCAGAAAGTATGAATCCTGGAAAGCTCTCGTCATTTCATTCACTCGGCATCTGGCCGACAGAAGAATATCCAGCAACTGGACGGAATTGAAAAACTGTTCAACTCTACAAAAAGAGTGATAAAGAAGACTTGATGAACTACTGCCCGATCTACTTACTCTTTAAAATTTGAAGTTTTTCACAAAAATTATTATCGGCCAGCGGGACAAACACCTTAATGAAAAGCAGCTGTGATAGCCAGTAAAATTTAGAAAGTAACTGCATCACGCCTGACCAACTTTCGCTCTAAACTAACTGCAAAGCATGCTGGAAATAGAATCGCCCTTTCCGCAACCTGTTCGCCAAAACGTAAGTTTTTGGGCAACTACTAAAACTTGGCTTGGCTCGGCTCGGCTCGGCCGATGCTATGCACAATTTGCGAACGTTTTGTTCGGGTGTCCTTACTCCGACGCGGCAAAGAACGTTGGGTGTCGCAGATGGGGTTAAGCGGGTCCCGGGCGTAGAGATTCGAGGCAGGGGGAGAGCTTGGATGGGTGGGTCAACTGGTTACGTGGCGTATATCGTTTGACGGTTGCCTAGACCATGGAAGAAAGAAAGAAGGGGGTGATAGGTGAAAAGAAGGAGGAAATGTGCTACTGGTTTTTGTCGCGGATGCTCGGGGTAAGAAAATGGCTGGGTGTTTGTTTCTAGAGTGCTCACATAGAAGAGATGGAAAGAAGCTCAGATGTTGCTTTGCAGGCTGATTTTCAATACAAGTCAGGAGACCAAGGCAAAATTGCAGACAACGTAAAGGGAAAGAAACAAACAAAGCACTACATAAAGAGTAAATTAAGACAAACCTGAGTGCAGGAATAAAAGCAAGATCAAAAAAAAAAAGTGAAGCTATGCGTAAAAGCAAAAGAAAATCCCGTCATCAATAGGGGATTCCCCTACTCATGAAGCTGATGCTTAGGTAAAACCCAAAGCG